TAATCTTGTAGTCGGTCACTGACTGATATTGATTTTTAAAAGAATCATCAACTATAACGATAATCGAAAATAGTATTGTTGATCTCTGTCAATGATCATTTGCTTCACCATTTATTATTATTATTTTTTGTGTTACTATTCTCGAAAAAAACTAACAAATTGCTTGTGTCGACTTTGAGATTGGACAAGGCTAAAGCAATAATCTCGACAAAGATTTACTCATTAATATTGTTAATCTTAATGTCTTTTTAATACATTTCAAACTAAACACTGTGATTACTGCATAAAAAATTCTGAAAACATAACATTAAACGCTTCGAAGATTGGTTCTTGAACACAGAATATAGAATTACAAAATGAGATATTTTATCGAAGTGATTCTCAACATAATAATGGAAGACAACGTCATCTCTCCTCCCACCCCGAATGTTCCAAGAATATATCAAATCAACCAAATATTCAATACTATGTTCTGACAAAATTATTCATAAGATAAACCTTAATGAGGCCCTTTAATTTCATTGTCACTTTAACAATCTCTTAATTTTTATTAGAAAGAAACTGAACTTTAAGAATATTGCATGGACAGCTCTCTCAAGCATAATTTTATATTCGACTTCAATGAAAAAAGAAACTGGAGCACCTAACAATGAGCAAAAACTCAACATAAAATCAACATATTTTATTAGAATTGATGTTATGCTCGCCCACCATAATGGTAAGAAAGCTAGCTCATGTGTTATTTATGTGATGGAAAAGCACTAACCACTATATCATTCACAATTGCTTACACGGGATTAATCGAATCTCATCTTGATCAGACTGACAATTAAGACATCTTATTCAAATACAAATACCAAGGATAAAATTTGTTAACTACCATTTTTACTAACACCAATATTCCAAATTAAATATTTGCTTAGAAAATTGTACAAAATTTTTATATGCTGAAATGAGTTGAAGTCACTAAATTCTTTTTTAAATTATTCAAGTGGAAATTTTAAATTTTAACAAAAACCTAATTGCATCCCTATCAACAGGCGTGCTAGCTATTTGTTGCATTTTCAGAAAACATGCCGACCGTAGATTTAAATATTGAAGAAACTCAAGTTCATTTTATGCCATTTCAACTGCTATGATCATATCACCACATTTTAGGTCACCCTCTCTACAAAATATATACGTACATATATATTGTTGAAGTTTATAACGTTGTCACATCATGCTAAACTTTTTTTTTTTTTTTCTTTCCTTTCACTCGACTCGTTGAACTAATTAAATTTTAAGATCGAGTAATTCAATACGATAGAAAATAAGAAAAGTATGTTGAGCTTAAATTTATCGACCATATTCTTCATGGTTGATCCTTTAGCCATGATGTTGGAAAATAATCGTCAATGCCTCGCAAAATAATCTAGGGCCGTTTCACCAGAATGCTTAAAATATCTCCATTACCTAAAATAGCCTAGTACAAAGGTTTCAATAAATTTTTCGGTTTGTGTTGAAAAATGTTCTTAAAAAATATATTTTACTTACCGTGAACTTAAACCCTAAACGTCTAAGTACCATTTAATAGGATTGAACAAAACTCCGGAACTGAATCGAACCCAAACAGAACCGAGCGGTTCTTCTTAAGTTAAATACCCGAACGAGTATTTGAATCGAGAACTGCCTGGTTTGATTTTGTTCTTGGTTATAGGTCAAGAATCGAATAAAAATCAAATCTCCCAAATTTTTTAATTAATTTATTTTAAATGAGCCAAATTATTTTATCTTTTCTAAATAAATTTGCAAATTAGTTAATTTTGTTCAAACCCAAAAATATATATTTTTGATATCTAATTTCCAGTTCAAAACTAACTTAATCAAATTGACCTAAATTTATTCAAATCTGTTACTCTACCATAGTGCCATTTCTATGGTTATGAAAAAATCAAATTGAAGTTCGGCAATACCTCTCTTAATTATTTTGAGCTCATTATCTTCATTTTCTTGTGAATTTAACAATCAAATCTATGAAGAACTCAATAAAGAGAGACGTAAAAGACACATAAAATTAGACTACATTATTTTGTAAGAGCTAAAATTGAACATATCATTAGTTGAATTAATATCACTTTGTAAATATTAAAAAATTTAATTATAATACAGAACCTGGGAAGGGAACCGAACCGAATTGAATCGAATGGAATCAAACCCACACGGTCCATAATTAAATTTGGATCCGACAGTTCCATTTACTAAATACCTGAAAATTTCGAGTCCAGATCTATTCTCGTTAGAACCGAACCGAACGAGATTAGACCATGTCCAACCCTACCATTTAATACTAGAAATTATTATTATTATTATTATTATTTATTGTTGTTGTTGTTGTTATTGATACTAATACTATAGTGATTGTTGTGACAATTTGTTGCACTAGCTCGTACGATTATGCTTAATTAATTAATTTCCTCATTTCATCTGGATCACTTGCTAATTACGGTGGAAATTACCTTAATTATTACAAGTTGGCTGATTACATATTTCCCTAAGAATTTACGTATTTTATAGCATTGACCCCTAAAATATTTAATTTTATTTAATTACACTTTCGTTAATATTAAAGAAAAAATTATCAAATAAATGTCTTTACAAGGAAATATTATATAATTCCCAGTTAAATGTCATCAATTATTCGACTAATTATTGGCACATCAGTGATCAGTCCAAATATTACTGTGTTGGCATCTAATTCTGTATATGTTCGGATTGTACCAACTCAAAAGCGTATTATTTTGGAAGTCAAATAAATGCTAAACTTCAGAAACAGTTCACGAATCTTTGATTTCATCGACTTGCGAGGATTAGAAGGTCAATAATTTTGAGATTGGTAATTATATATGTAATTGAAACTCCAAAGGATTCGTTCGAACCCAAAACTATACCTAGAATGGGACAATACGACCACTTTTTGATGATAGAAACATCTTTGAGTGTCTTAAAAATTCAGTGAACGTATTAAGGAATCTTTTCAAATTAATCAACCAATCAAATTTAATTTTGACTTTGTCACATTAACAAAATCAATTCTCTACCTTTTGAATTAAATTAAATTAAATTCAGTAATTTACTTATTTGTATGCATCAACCAATAGTCTTGATTTGGCTTCATGTATAAATGTCGAACAGAGGCCTTTTCATTCAACGTAATGGAAGATTTAATAACTCAAATGAGATCCATTCAACGTTAAAGAAAATAATTTATAGTAATTTTGAAAACCCTAAAACACGTTAAAGAGATTTCAAAGTAATAATTTTCAGAAATTTCAAAAACCCGGAAAGCTACTCAAAATTAAATTACAGGATTTTACTAATTTAATAACTTTTTTAAAAAAAAGAAAAAAGAAAAAGAAACTGAGCATTCAAAAATTCAAAATTGGCACCAAATATATATATGTATGAGACATTTTAATATTATTTCTTGGTTTCAAGATATCACGAGAGAAAACACTCTCACCAGAAAATTGCACTATAAGTCCTCAATTTATGGGCTATTGCAAGTTAACTCTCGATCGATTACTTTAGTGGTGTCACTAGTTCTTCTAGACGAATGCAGCCTAATTTGACCAGTAACATCGCACACGATCATTACGTGTTCAACTTTTAAAGAGTATAATGATTAAGACATTATTTAGCCTCGTTGGAATAATTTATAAATTATGGGTAACTATATTGCCATCACAAATTTTTTTTTATTATACCACATTTTTAAATATTTCTCTTAATTTCTAAATTGGACATAAATAACCACTTAATTATCTCTTTAATCCTTATGTCCACCACATGCTTGTTAATACCATTAGACTACCCTTTCTTCTCTTTTTTTTTTTCTTTTTCTTTTGTTTAATATGATATAGGTTTCTCATGTTTTTAATCATATTATTATTATTATTATTGTCACACCTGGCCAACCTACCTGGGACAATGGCCCACTCATAGCGATCCATGTGGCATTCCTGTCGAGGTGGGCTACATCCGAACTGCTTCCAGCCGAAATCCATCTAACGAAACTCCTTTTTGTCCGAGGCCCATTGACAGAGGCCTACGAATCGAAGCCAGGCTGCTGGAACCTGTTGAGAGCAGCTGAGGCCCTCAAGTGGAAGTATCATGACAAATGGCCGAAGCCCCCAAGCTGATGCGCGAGCCTCTGAACCACAAAGAAACATCCTCCATGGTTACTTCTCCCAAGAGATCGCCTGTACATATCTTATTCTAATGATTGATGGAACGTTTATCATAAGCATAAAAGTCAAGTCTTGTCACTAGCATGGAGGCCCTGCACAACCAATAAATGCGCCGTAAGCTAGCAAGTCAAGCCCCATACCTAGGAAAAGATGTTTGAACTAAAGAGATGAGGCCACGTGCCACTTTATCCAAGGGTTCCCATTTCATATGTACTACTATAAATACTTCCTTGTGTAATATCAAAAGGCTAATGCAAGAATCAATACTAAGAACTACATTCACTCAACTCTCTCATTTTACTTGCAATACACAAATCGAGTTTATACACATTTACATATACATTTGTGAACACCGGTTGATAATTATTGTACAATCGGACTACGAACAACCCGCCGGAT